ACAACGTTCTACAAAATGAATCGGTTAGTGATATATAGATGTGTTGATGGTGCAGGCAATGCCACAACTTACCGATAGATCCAAGCTTCCAAACATTGTGGATGCGGTTATAAAAGATACAATGGATCTCAAGCACTTATACCAGGTTTGGTTTGAAGATATAACCGGTTTTAAGTCCATCTTGTTTGTGACTACACTGGAATATTGTTGCTTCATTAGGCTTGGTTTGATGGTGTGGATCAAACCGACCGGTGAGATTTTACTTTGGACATTGTTGAATCAAGACTGTTAATTCTTTACGCAGGTAGCAGCCATGGCTGTGTTGTGCGTGCAACCAGAACCGAGTTACCGGCCGTTAATAACCGATGTTCTTCACTCACTTGTTCCATTGGTTCCGGTTGAGCTAGGAGGGACTCTCCGGTTAACACGATAATTGACATAACACGCCAAAAATCCAAATCCATTAAATGATTTTATCTTTTGCCTTTTTTTTAATATTTGTATAGGGTTATGATCCGCTCATCTCAAAGTTTGGGGGTAAGAATGTGAGAATATAAGTTTTCCAGGGTTGTTGAGTTCTATAATTATATTTGTTTCTTTTTATTGTCAAATATAATTATATTTTCTTTAGTTGTAGATTGTTCATATATATTCCCTAGTCACATCTTCGTAGATGTCGTAGATAGGATCACCGTAGATCTCCATGTAACTATCTTCAAACAAACTTTCTTCTGCAAAAGGATAAAAGTTACCACACAACATGATCACCAGAATCGTTCTTCGATTGAGAAATCAAAGAGACGCAGCTCTGATACCTTTTGAAGTAGCGGAAGCTTTAAGGATAGAAACTAGAGATCCGTTGATTCCTCGGAATACCGGAAAACTAGGGTTTCTTGGATCTGTTGATTCCTCAGAATACCAGAAACGAGAGAACGTGAGGAATTCGTTGATTCTCCGCGAATACCGAATCCTACGTCTTCTTATAATCGTTGAGATCTCTCGAGATCTACCGAAAACAAGGATTAGAGAATACTCTTCTCTGAAAAGCTAAAAGCTCTTTAATTTTATTAATCAATCAACTTCATACAATTCTAGGCCTAAAAGCCTTATTTATAATAAATCTAAAAACTCTAGAATATTCATAAAACAATAAATAGAAATTATCTAAATAACTAAATAGAGATATTAGGAAATAATAAAGATATTTGGAATTATTCAAATATACGCTGCATCAGGTCTCGCCGGCCAAGAAAAGATTCGTCCTCGAATCTTTTTTTGATTTTGTGTCATTACCGAAATTTTCACAGGTATTTAGGAACTGTATTGAAATGAGGATTTTTTTAAAGTTTTGAGTGTTGTTTAAAAATACTATGTTATTCAATTGATGATATTTAAATGTCTTTCCAATCCAAATCTACTCTTACTCAAAAGGGAAAATTTTAAAAATACCACTATTATGAGTTTTTAATCCAAAAATACCATCACTCATATAAAATAAAACCACTAAGAAATATTTTTTTATAGAAAATACTACAAAACTAAAACTAAACTTTAAACCATCAAAATTAATCCCTACGCCCAAAAAAATCAACCCTAAATACTATACTCAAACCCAAAATATTATAAATACTGAAAACATTTTTAGTATTTGTGGTATTTTTGGAATCTTAAGTTTGTAATGGTATTTTTTGGGAAAATTAGAAATAAAGGAGGTTTTAATGGATAAATGTCCATATATACTTTTCTATAAAAAGTTTTGTGAAATAGGTTTTTTAAAAATCAAAACCCAAAATTACCCCCATATTTTCGAAAATATAATTAACAAAATTAAAAAAATTATTTCCTAATTTATTTACACAAAGAGAAATTAATTGGTGGAAACAATGCTACGAAAAATCGGAGCAGCTTCTCTCTCAGACAAAGTCATAGAGGTTTCAAACATTCTTGTTCTTGTGGCAAGTGTCACGTTCTGTTCATGGATTGTGGTACGAAGAATTGCTGAAGAAACCGAATTAAGAGACTATGTGGACCAATGGACCAGTGTGGGTTTGTTTATGGTTGCGTCAAGAGTCAGAACAACACACCACGTTTTGTATTTATAACTATTAGCTGTGATACATATGTAATACACTAATACACTATACCTACAAGTATTCCGGTTTTCCTTATTTTAATTGATTCTAATTTAACCGAGTCTAATTTCAATTTGAACCCCCATTTTTTACAATCTCTGTTCTTTGTTACGAGCCTAGATCTTTCAGTTTTGGTTAAAAGTTGAAAGGAAGATGTGAAGACTAAGACTTTAAGAATTACGGCACACAATAGTATGATTACTTGATTTTAATTTATTTCTTTTTCATCTAAATATCTTAGAAAACGTATTCAAAACATCTTCATATTGTAATCTAAACAATAAAAATGTAACATTTAATAAATATTCAGTTTTTTTTTTTTGAAAAATTCACTTTCTATATTTAGGAATTCTAAAAAATTTCAGAATTTGAAATCTATATTATTTTAGAAAATGGATTCTAAAGTAATAATACGTTTTCTAACGTTTTCAGAACATGTTATAAATCGTAGAATGAATTTTCTGACTAAAATTAGAACATGAAAAAAAAAGTAGAATACATGTTCTACGGATTTTTCGAAATTGTATTCCGGTCTTCTGAATATGTTAGAACAGATATCTAATCTAAAAGTCGTAGAACATGTACAAAAGTTTAGAATACAAACTCTGGTTTTCGTAGAACATATACAAAAGTTTAGAATATAAACTCTGATATTCGTAAAACACTAGAAAACGTATTCTAATAATTTTAGACGAAATTTTAGCCATCAATAATTAACTTTTTTCAACTAAATCATCAATTTTTTTTTACAAATCATCTATAGTCTTGTATATCTACTAGGGGTGGGCATTTAAACCTAACCGAACCGAACCGACCCAACCCAACCGAACTCAAACCGACCTAAACCGAACCCCAGCTTAGACTCAAACCATTCGGTTGGGTTTATTCTCAACCCAAATGGGTCGGTTCGGTTCGGTTTTAAACCGAACCGAACCGATAATCCAATGTGTTTATTTAATTAATTATTTAATTATATTAATAATATTATAAATAACTAAATATGTGTTTATCTTTACTTTTATAATAATTTGAATAAATGTAAAATAAATTTAATTATCTCTAAAACTCTAATCCTAAAAAACTTAGGGTTCTCCTTCTAAAAAACTTACAACTTGAACTTAATATTTAATTAGTTTATCAATTTCAATGTTTAAACTTCAAAGACAATGAATTTTTTTGTTTTGTTACATTAATTGATTTTTTTAACCGAATTCAAACCGAACCGAAGTAAAACCGAACCGAACCAAACCGAACCAAACATAAACTGACCCAAACACAAACCGAACCAAACTAACTTTGGTTGAGTTTGGTTAGAGAAACCCAAATAAACCGAACCGAACCGAACCCAAACCAAACCCGAAGTTAAACCGAAATGCCCCATCATTATTGTTACTACTTTACCTAAATTAACTTTATTCATCCGTATTTACTTAGGGATAATTGTTTTTTATATAGAGACTTTTGAGATTGCCTCTAGTGTTATTGAAACCAACACACCATCTTCAAAGTCAATGATTAGAGGACAAACCTCAGATTCCATCCCGATTGTTCTCATTACCGAAATACTCTCGAGATTACCTGCAAAGTCAATCGCGAGGTGTCGTTGCGTGTCTAAGCTATGGACGTCAATACTTGACCGTCCATATTTCACCAAGTTGTTCCTCAGCAGGTCCTCCGCTCGGCCTCGTCTCTTCTTCGCCATCAAACGAGCCGATGGCTGGTGCTTTTTGACGTCTCCTCAGCCTCATAGTCCATATGACAAGTCATCTCTTGTACTAGTGGCTGATTTTCATATCAAGTTCCCTGGATACATGTGGCCAGGTTTTTTTGGACTTAACTCTGGTTTGATCTATTTTCATCACATGTTGATCTCAGAAAAGGATAAGGATACAGTAGTTCTAGTTCCTGTGATATGTAACCCTAGCACGGGACAGCACATGAGTTTACCTAATGGGAATATGAAGAAAGGCTTTCTAGGGTTTGATCCAATTGAAAAACAATTCAAAGTATTGTCCGTGAGGTTATATAATGAGAACCAGTCGCCTCAAGTTTTGACACTAGGGACTGGAAACGTTTCGTGGAGGAAGATCCATTGTCCCTTAAAACATTATATTTCGTATGCATCAATGGGGTTTTATATTACTTAGGTCACCGAGTTGATCTATGGTATCGTGTGACAGTTTGCTTTGATGTTAGTTCTGAGAAATTTAACTTTATTGATGAAGAATTTTTTCGTCGATGGCCTAGAACTAAATTGATAAACTATATGGGTAAATTAGGCGCGATTATTTATGAGTATGTTGCCTTTGGTGACACCATGATGTATCTTATAAAGGATGTCAAGAAACCGGAACAGCGGCAACATGTCTACTTTTTCGGGAAAGATACATTTGTTGACGACGGCAGTGTTTCCGTGACTTCTACAGGTGACGTTGTTTGGTTGATATACGATACATCTAAACTGTTTTATGTTTTCTACTTCAATCCCATAAGGAACACACACCAAAGAGTTGAAATCCAAGGTTTTGAAGCTAACCATGACGCGTTTGCGAATCGTAGAAACGTTAGAGTCTTTGTAGACCATGTAGAGGATCTCAACTTTATAAAATAGTGACTAGCTAGTTTGGCTGTGATGTGAACTTTTCACTTTCTTTGTGAGTTCTATCATTTTGTTGGCTTATTATACTTTCTTTCAAGTGTTTTCGTCTCCATGCTCTAATTGTGTCCCATGTTACTCGAAACCAAATTAATATTTGATCTCACACATTAACTGCGTTTCCATCGAACTCCTTTCTTCGTAGTGATAAAGTTTAAAGGATCTTTTAAGAATTTTCTTGTGTTTAAAATGTTGACCTTATTAGACAAGGTTTGATTAGTCGGATCAAAATGTCACAGATACAACTATGAATTATGTTTGAGCAGAGATAAAGAAAGTAACAAATGGGATTTAATCATTGTCAACGACGAAATAAGCATGATCATGGGCAAAGAACATAAGTTTGGGAAGAGTAAACCTCTGGATGAGAAAGATGGTTTAGTCTATTGTGGCATAGAGACGGTTCTGATGGAGGAACTGGACCTCGCTGAAGCTGGTTATGTAAACCGTGCAATCGTCCTAAATCCTTCTCCCATATCGGCAGTCTTCCCGAGGTTCCCCTTCCGACCAAAGCTAGAAGATACATCACCAAAATGAATCTCCACATTCTTTAGTTGAATAAGGATTAGTGGTTATATGTTGAACTATAATACCGAAGGCTAGATAACAAAATGGATATTTTGAGAATGAAAATGAAAGAAGAAAACGTTGATGGAACTAGCTATGTATATACAACACATCTATGTGTGTAATATATATAGAGAAATAAAGTGTGTTGATTTGAATGATGCTACATTGGTATTTTTGTCAACTTATAATGGTAACTTTTAGAATTGACTTGTTCCTTGTTATAACATTCATGAGTGGTAATGTCTTGTGTTCAACTTTTGTGTATAAATTTCAAGAAGCGTTTATTCAACGTTGTTAATTATTATGTATTTTGAGTGGGTTGATCATTTTTTTCAACTATTATTATGTAAGCAACCAAACATTAGAAGAAACTAGAAAAACGTCATCCCTCTTTTTAATCCTCTTTGATTAGTCTTTAAGAGTAAGCATCAGAATCGCAATGCTAAGTGCCAACAGTCAATAGCGACGGTGGGAACATAAAAGAAATGGAAGCAAAAACACATAGCCGACCAAACAACAAATCACCAAACGACAATTAAAATAAGGTCAAACCGGAAAAAATTACCTCTGTAATACCTCATTGCTTTTTGTGTTAACCATTGCGTTTTGTATGTTTTTCCAACAACGCACTACTTTAACAGTTTTAAACAAAATCCATCTGCCCATTTGAGTATGTGTTTAACACATTACCCTCGAATTTGTGTAGTTATTATATACTAAACACATTACCCTCGAATTTGACAAATTATTTTTTACAATTGGTTGAGTTCATTTTGTTTAATGGTATTTTTACGTAAAAGAAATAAATAAAATGAAAGGTATGTGTTCTTTAATTTGTGTGTAGAAACCTTAAACATCAATTGAAATGATAGGGAAAGAATATAATTTAATAAAATTATGAGAAATTTGTTAAAGCAAATTGGATCATTATAAAAGAATAACAAAACCATAAAAATAATTTTAGATAGCTTAAATATTTTTAGATAAGCTAACAAGGTAATTTAAGTACCCAGTAATTCAATACAAGTAATCAAGGTAAGTACACAGGTAATTCAAAAAGGTTGAGTAATTAAGGTGAGATGATTCAATCCAAATGGCACAAATCTACCTAAATCAATACACATTGTAATGCCAAACCCTTAAACTTTCATTGATATAAGATTATAAAAACCCAACAAGAGAAAGATGAACCTAGCAAACATCTAAAAGGATTCATTTCATACCATCTGATTCTACTAGTAACCAACCTATTCTAGATAGCAACATACTCGAGTATCTTCACAAACCTCAAAGATACTAACCCATTATCGAATTAGCAGTACATTCATTACCTCATCAACACTTCTATAAACCTCAAAACCTCAAGCACTTGGTTCGGACGATATAACACACTTGGTTCTACTGATTGAGAGCAATGAGCCCATAAACCAAGATAAACAAAAGTCAAATCCAAATCTTAAAACTAGTGAAAACCACAGAGTTACTACAATAAGTACTCTTCAATAGAAAATTTGAAAACATAACTGATTAAAGATTGTCTTACACAAATGTGAACAATCAAAACTGATGAAACACTAAAACGAAACAAAATAAAAAACAATGTCTTTAAGAAAGAACAAAGCTTTCACAATAGGTAAAAGTAACCTCTTAGAATCCAAGCTTGGTTCTGCGCCAGTGCCTACGCTTAGCATTGTACCTGTAAAAACAAACAAACCCACTTAAGATTCACTAATTCTAAACCTAATCGATCAGAAACAGAAGCTATCTATGAACGAACCTGATGGTGTTGTCGGTACGAAGACGAATCCAGTGAGGAATAGGCCTGTTTTGCCTCATTTTCTTCGCTAACTTCTTCTTAATCATGAACGACTTGTGCGACGGCTGTTTCATATAATGAAGAGATCATCAAAATGATTCAAAGTCTCAAACTTTCTTAACATTTAGATACAATTCAGTGTAAATTATCAAAATGATTCAAAGTATCGAACTTTCGTAACATTTACAGACTAATTTGAGAATAAAGGATAATGGAGATTAAGATTGAAGCAGAGGAGAGAGGATTTACCATCTTGAAGCCTTGCGATCTTGGGTTCTGGGACCGAGCCGAAACGAAGAGAAAACCCTAAATCTGGAGAAGAAACTTGTGAAAAGTGATGGCGGTGAGTTTTTATACGGGGACACGATTTTAGGGTTAGGTTTTATCGATTGGGCCACAAAGGCCCATTTATGTAACTTATTTTCAGGCCTTAGGTTAATATCTGGTCGGCCATAGGCTTCGTTCCAGCAGTAAAATGTTGATAATTGATCTTTTGAAAATTGACATCGATTTGGTATCGTCATTTGAGATTGAGAACATGTAGAAAAAAAAAGGGATTATAGGTATTAAGCCATTTTCGAACATCTCAAAAATTCAAAATTTTGATTTTTTTTTCTAAAATACATATTTTATTAACAAATACTAAACCCTAAGAACAAATAGAACCGACTAAATCCAAATATAACGGGTAAAACATATGTTAAATCTTATTTTTATAATCTAAAAAATGGCAAATCCGTAAGACTTTAGAGAAAATGGCAAATCCACAGATGTCACTCAAAAAAATGGCAACTCATAATTGATTCAAAAATAAATGGTGAGAGATTAAATTTTAACTCTAATTAATTTAAAAAATGAATGGTAAAAGTAATGAAACCGAGTTAGAGGTTTTTGCAAGTTTCGGCTGTTTAGTGGTTTAACTCAAATCTATTTTCTACTTCTAACTTATTTTAAAATTTGGCTAAATTAATTGAATCCTCTACCCTTTGTTAGGGGTGGGCAAAAATGTCTTGGATGAAGTATTTGTGTTTTACTATTGAAAAAATTATTGTTTTAGTATAAAGTGGGGGAGATTCATGACCATTCATGGGTGGTGCCAAAGAGCAACTGGTCGTCAACTTGGAGAAGTATTGGAGTGGGTCTACGAGAGGTGGTGTCGCGTGGGCTAGGCTCGGTTCTCGAAGATGGGAAGACCATCAGGTTTTGGACGGATAGATGGCTACTGGGAGAGAATTTATTGGAGCGGGCTATAGCACAAGTACCAAGTGAGGACGTTGGGAGGAGGCTAGAAGAGTATTGGACGGTGGGTTGCGGTTAGAACTTGACAGTTTTAAGTCAATATCTTCCACAAAGTATTCTGAAGCGGATTCATGCGGTAGTGTTGAAGGGAGTACCATTCATGGGAGACTCGATCTCTTGGCTGGGAACTGCGGATGGTGAATTCTCGGTAAGATCGGCTTACTCCATTGTTACACAGGTGACTGATCCTTTGCCTTGTATGGAGAGATTTTTTCAGCGAGTATGGGATGTTGTGGCTCCGGAAAGGGTCAAGGTCTTTTTTTGGTTAGTTGCTCATCAAGTGATTATGACAAATATGGAGAGAGTAAGAAGGCATATTGGTGAGAGTGCGGTTTGCCAGGTTTGCAACGGGGCGAATGAGTCAATTATACATGTGTTGCGGGATTGTCCGGTAATGGAGGGTATTTGGCTGCGGTTGGTACCTCAACCGGAGAGACAGACTTTCTTCACTCGATCTATATTGGAATGGTTGTTTGTGAATTTGAATGTAGGTCATGAAAATGGGAGAGGTAGTTGGGCTACTCTTTTCAGAATGGCAGCTTGGTGGGCGTGGAAATGGAGGTGTGGAAATGTGTTTAGGGTGAGAGGGCATTGTCGAGATAGAACACGTTTTCTCAAAGAGTTGGCTGTGGAAGGTACCAAGGCTCATGAACAGGCCAATAGGGACGCTCGGGCTGGTCAACGTGCGGGTCAAAGAACGGAGGTGATGGTGTAATGGCTACGACCAGGAGAGGGCTGGGTTGCAGTGAACACGGACGGTGCATCTCGTGGAAACCCAGGGCTGGCGACGGCTGCTGGTGTGATTCAGGATGGGGATGGACTCTGGTTGGGAGGGTTCGCGCTTAATATTGGTATATGTCCAGCCCCGATGGCGGAGTTATGGGGAATATACTACGGACTAGTGATTACGTGGGACCGAGACTATAGGCGGGTGGAGTTGAGAGTGGATTCGGAGTTGGTGGTAGGTTTTATTCGGTCAGGGGTAAGCGATGCTCATCCTATGTCCTTCCTAGTACGGTTGTGTCATGACTTTATTTCAAGGGACTGGTTAGTCCGGGTGTCTCATGTGTATAGGGAGTCTAATCGTCTAGCCGATGGATTAGCATCCTATGCGTTTTCGTTGGATTTGGGGTTTCTTTTGCTAGAAGAATGTCCGGATGTAGTAAATCTGATTTTGCTTGAGGATGTTATTGGGACTGCGTTTCCACGTAATGTTCGGTTGTAATTTTACTTTATTTTAATAACATGAGGGAGACAATGTCTCCTCACCATTTACCAAAAAAAATGGTCAATAAATTTTTTTTGGAGGATATTAACTTTTTTGTAGGTATTTTGTGAATGATTGGAGAATGAAAGTTGAGAAATCAATCACATGTTTTGGATTGTCTGGTATGAAACAAAAAGCAGCGAGTAATGCACCAATCTCGCAATGAATTGGTGTACGTTTCCATATTTAATTTGTAGTTGGACATTTTCAAACCTTTTCTTTTTGTTAGCTGGAACCCAATAACGAATCAAACATGACGAATAAAAAAAAAAATTACATATTATAAGACTTCATAACTTCGTATCAATCCACAAACTTAACTAAACATGACTTCTCCTTACTAGGATCAAAATTATGTTAGTAATTTGTTGGAGCATTTACTTCCCACAACTATCTGTTATATCATGGACCAAAACCTACTCTTAAACCAACAAGAAACAAAGATCTTACACATCCCAAAATCTTAAACATTTCATCTAATTATCCATAGTAATTTACTATTGTATACTATCAAACAGAACACATGTAATGTAAGGAACCAAGCTTTAACAAGACATTCTATTTGTCTTTACCATTTTAAAATTTTTTGGTAGCTTTCACTGTGACTACAAACGTAAAAAACTAATAATATAAGTGGAAAAGAGTTAAGGAAAGAGACAAGAAAAAGTCAAGTGACTTCCAAAGAATTGAACTAAAACATAATCTACATATAGCAATAATGTGAAAACCGGCACAAAATATCAATGAACGTCTGTTTCGGTCTATAAAATTTATCCACAAAGTTGCTTTCAATCTTTCGACATTGACCCACTCTTTTGAATTTCACGACATGACAACTCATTTTCAGACACATAAGCCAACTCTAAGTATAGATAAATACTCGTTGTCAAAAAACAAAAAGTATAGATAAATATTCAAATAGTCATATATGACATATCCATACAATTATAGTATGTTTTTGTATGCATGTGTATATTAGATCAACCAGTCATAATTGACGATACCTAAAAATGAAAATCTCTGCTCTTGGTCGCGGTGGTTCCTCTCCTTTATCCGCCTGTTTCCACCCTTCCGCCACCGCCATCAACGACGATCTACCGTCGTCTCTTCCATCACCGTCAAATCCATCGTATATCTCCGCCTCCGGCGACCCTACCGCAACATGTCATTACCTCACTAACGTTGGCGTTTTCTTTCTTTCATGGTCTCAATCCTTCCTCCGCCGCTCTCTCCACCTTCATTTCTACTCATGCAACTCCACAAATTGTTATCTCCACTCTCCGGATTGTTACCGTCACTCCATTCCTTTCGCTTTCCGGCTCGAAATCAAGCCCTTGACCTTTTGGAGAAAACAAGGGTCCAAGAAGATATCTCGAAAGCCGGATATTCGGGTCGTATGGGACCTAACTCACGCAAGATTTGGATCAGGACCTGACCCGGAATCCGGGTTTTACGTGGCTGTCTTTGTATCCGGCGAAGTGGGTCTTCTCATCGGCGAAGGAAACTTGAAACAAAGGCCTAGAAGACAAATCTTGGTGTCCAAGAAAGAGAATCTGTTTGGAAACAGAGTTTACTCTACGAAAATCAAGATTCAAGGAAAACTAAGAGAGATTAGCATAGACATCAAGGTTGTTAACAACGATGCTAATCTCCGGTTTAGCGTAGAAGACAAGAGTGTTTTAAAGATTAATCAGCTTCAATGGAAATTTAGAGGAAACTCAAAGATCGTGATCGATGGCGTTACGATACAGATAATATGGGATGTTTATAACTGGTTGTTTAGTGACAAGGATAAGGTTAAACCGGATAAAGTTCCCGCCGTGTTCTTACTCCGATTTGAGAACCAAGATGTTGAAGGAAACGACGTGTTGATGATGAACAAGCGTGTAAGAGACGATGTAGTTTTGCGGAAGGAGAACTCTCGAACGCCGTCGTTTTGGGGGACTTCGTATGGTCATTGGTGTTCTTCTAGGATGTCTTCTGTGATGGAGTGGCCTAGTTGTAGGGAGGAAGATGAGAGGAGTTTTGGGTCTAAGAGTTGGTTCTCTTTGATTATCTATGCTTGGAGGAAGTAAAAACACACTCAACTTATTTTATCAATTTTTTTTTTTGTATATAAAGCAAACAATTGGATTTGAGGATATACCAAAGTGTATAAGAATCAGAGTTTTGATATATTATCCGATATTAACCTTCCAACAGATAAAGAAATATCTGAGGTAAGATCTTCTTTAATTTTTGTCAAAGGAACTTAAACTTTGCTATTAGTATTAGTTTGTAATCGATATTACAAAAGGTTTCTAGCTAGGTTAGAATTTGGAATGTTGTCTCATTTAGTCGTTGATCAAACCTCCCATTTGAAAACCGGTCACCAGTTCCTAGTCTTCCTTAGTTATGGTAAAGTGCTTTTTTTTTTTTTTACGTCAACTGAATAGTGTAATAGCGGAATAGTGATGAATAATGGATAAACTAAACTGGATTTTTTGTTTTAGATAAGCTAAAACATTTATATCGAAATATATAGTAGAATCAGTTTTCTCAAACGTAAAATTTTGATGAATATTAACATGATAAATATTGCGGAATCAAAATTTTAATGTGGAGAAAAATCTCGCATTGGAAAGATGGAAGGAACTTGAGTAATATATAAGGGACTTGGGCCAATCCACTCATTGCCAATTGATTTTGAGTTAGAAACCCATGAAACTTAACATGGTATCAGAGCCCGATCCATACGCTGACCCATTAATCCGGCCCGGAAAGTGGCCCGATCACCCCCACTAATTGATAGCCCAAAGGAAGGCTCAATTATGTCGAGATAGCTTAAAGAACATTATTTCGATGGGGCGTGATGGATTCTGTCGAGACTAATGGCTAGAAGAACTATTATCTTGAGGGGGCTGTTGGTGTCGGATCCCGCACCAGAAGTACGAGACCAACCAAAGATTGCCACGTAATCAGGATAATGGCCCATAAAGGATGAAGCCCATTGGACCCGTGAGCCGAAGGGACGGTCGAAGTGGTTGTCACCATTTCGAGAATCCGAAGTGACTGCACTGTGACACGAGTTCGGTGTAGAAGACACGGGTAAGTCGGTTCAAGGACACTTGGGCCAAAAGAGGCGAGGCCCATGAAGATCAGAGTCAACTCAAATTCAAACGTTGAGCATTAAAGCCGAAGAATCAAAACGGACACATTTAAGAAGAAATAATTGTACTTAATTACTCATTTTAATGTCGTTTATCTATGTATAAATATAGAGGCCAATGGCCATGTAAAGGAGAGCTTCCTCTCGAGAAAGAAATACTATATCAATTTTTGTAACAATTCATAAGTTTTTTTTATACATTCATTTTTGTCCCTCAAGAATAATCTTTCCCGCTTAATAAAATACTTGAGTGTGTGAATCCGACTTCCACATTTTGGCGCCGTCTGTGGGGAAACCCGGTGGGAATCCGAAGTGCAGGAATAATATACAAACTCGTGTTCGCTCTTTAAGTGCAGGAATAATCCCTCTTAGTCAAAACGTCAATAATATACAAACTCGTGTTCGCTCTTTAAGTGCAGGAAACCCGGTGGGAATCCGAAGAGGGATATTCAACTCGCCAAGTTCCGCTGCACGAAATGAAACCAGCGGACAAACAACTCCCGGTGCTACTAATAATGTAGCTCAGACGTCGGAAGAAGAGACGCAGCTCGGGGATGAAGAACAACTCGCAGCTCAGTACGAGCAGGAGAACCTCGACCAATTCGAGACCATGAGGAAAGTTAGCCAGGAATTAAAAGAAATGAAATCAAAATTTCATCAAGCTACAAGTTCAGAGCCAGACATCAATCGAGTCATTGAAGAAGCTAGGCGAACACCTTTCGTCCCGCGAAACGCGAGTTTAAGGATCAAAGATTCCCGGAAACTCAAATTGGACCCTTACAGCGGATTGGAGGATCCAAAAAGCTATCTCGCAGCCTTTCTGATCGCTGCAGGAAGAGTCGAATTGGATGAGGCTGATGAGGACGCAGGCTATTGCAAGCTGTTTTCGGAGAATCTATGTGGCCAAGCTCTAATGTGGTTCACCCAACTAGAGCCGGGTTCGATCAGCAATTTCGACGAACTATCAGCCGTGTTCTTAAAACAATACTCTATCCTTGTGGATAAAAGCGTTTCGGATGCCGATCTTTGGAACTTAACGCAAGGATCTAATGAGTCACTTCGAGTTTTCATCACCAAATTCAAAGGAGTGCTGTCAAAGCTCCCAAGAATCTCACAGCAATCAGCTTTATCTGCCCTACGAAAAGGATTGCGACATGATTCAAGGTTTAAAGAAGACTTAATACTTCATAAACCAGACACAATTCAGGATGCACTCTTCCACGCAAACAACTGGATGGAGGTAGAAGACGAAAAAGAAAGTTTTGCCAAACGGAATAAACAAGAAAAGCCGGCAATCACCGTCCCTACCAAGAAGTTCGAGCCTAGGGAGAGCAAAGGACCAAGGAAGTTTGGGTCGCAACCCTTCAACAATACCGTCGGAAAGCAATTCCAAGGGAAAGGAAGATCAAACACTTGGGTCCGTGATGAAAGTCTATATTGCGACATTCATAAAGTAACCGGACATTTAACCAAGGATTGCAGCGTTCTTAAAAAGCACCTCGCAGAGCTTTGGGCTAGTGGCGATCTTCCTAAATTCAATATAAAAGAGTTTGTGAAGGAATACCACGAAGCAAAGGAAAACTCCAAAGATCAAGATTCCAAAAGACCGAGGTTATCCAACGAGGAAGAACCAAGGAGTTCGAAGGGTAAGATCAATGTGATTCTAGGAGGCTCCAGATTTTGCGGAGACTCAATAAGTTCCATCAAAAAACATAGACGAAATGTCTTACTCAAAGCAAGCTTGAGCGAAGAAATTGATTTTCAAGGTGCTTCAATATCATTTAACGAAGAAGAAACGCGGCATCTCGAAAGACCGCATGACGATGCTCTAGTCATTACTCTTGATGTCGCAAACTTCGAAGTATCAAGGATCCTTATAGATACAGGCAGTTCGGTCGACTTGATCTTTTTAAGTACTCTAAAAAAAATGGGAATCAGCCGAGGAGACATAGTAGGACCTCCGTCTCCATTAGTTGCATTCACAAGCGAATCAGCCATGTCTCTCGGGACAATCAAACTACCGGTCCTTGCCAAAAAAGTATCGAAGATTGTGGACTTCGTTGTCTTCGATAAGCCCGCAGCTTACAACATCATCCTTGGGACTCCCTGGATTTATCGAATGAAAGCAGTTCCCTCTACATACCATCAATGTATCAAATTTCCAACATCAAATGGGGTGGAAACAATTCGGGGAGATCAAGAAGCTTCGCGGACGTGCTACCTAGCTAGCCACCGTATGAAGATTCAATAGCAACTAACGAAGCCCGTAAAAGAAGGACTAAGAACAAAATTTCCTAGCGGGCAGAAGAAAGATGATGTAGTAATCGAAGTGGTATTGGAAGAAGACAAGCCGGACCAGAAAATTCGAATTGGAGCAACTTTGACTGGCCAAATAAAAGAAGCTTTGATCGAACTCTTAAGGAAAAACAAAGCATCATTTGCATGGTCAGCAGCGGACATGCCTGGTATAAATCCGAGTATAATTTGTCATGAACTAAACGTGGATCCAAGCTTCAAACCGGTGAAACAAAAAAGAAGAAAGCTTGGAGTGGAGCGGGCAAAAATAGTAAATGATGAAGTGGATAAACTTTTGAAAATAGGGTCCATACGAGAAGTGCAATATCCGGAATGGGTGGCAAACACTGTCGTTGTCAAGAAAAAGAATGGGAAAGATAGGGTTTGCATCGATTTTACAGACCTGAATAAAGCATGTCCCAAAGATAGTTTCCCGCTGCCGCATATAGATCGACTTGTGGAGTCCACCGCTGGAAATGAGCTGTTAACGTTCATGGATGCCTTCTCGGGTTATAATCAGATAATGATGAACCCCGAAGATCAAGAAAAGACGTCATTTATCACAGATAGAGGTATCTACTGTTACAAGGTAATGCCTTTTGGTTTGAAAAATGCAGGAGCAACTTACCAACGATTGGTGAACAAAATGTTTCACAATCACCTCGGAAAGACTATGGAAGTCTACATAGATGATATGTTGGTTAAATCATTGAAGAAAGAAGATCATGTTAAACATTTGGAGGAATGTTTTGGTATTCTCAATAAATATCAAATGAAGCTGAACCCGGCGAAGTGCACATTTGGAGTCCCATCCGGAGAATTTCTTGGCTATATCGTGACAGAAAGAGGGATTGAAGCTAATCCAAATCAAATTAACGCCTTTCTAAACATGCCATCTCCAAGAAACTTCAAAGAAGTACAACGGTTGACTGGGCGGATTGCGGCTTTGAATCGTTTTATCTCGAGGTCAACAGATAAGTCGTTGCCTTTCTACCAAATTCTAAAAGGGAACAAAGGATTCCTTTGGGATGAGAAGTGTGAAGAAGCTTTTGGGCAGCTTAAGGCATACTTAACCACTCCGCCTATACTGTCCAAACCGGAAGTGGACGAAAAACTTTATTTGTACGTATCAGTTTCAAACCACGCGGTTAGTGGAGTCTTGGTTCGGGAAGATCGTGGAGAGCAGAAGCCAATTTACTACGTGAGCAAGTCAATGACGGATCCGGAAACCAGGTACACAATGATGGAAAAACTCGCACTCGCAGTGGTAACTTCGGCTCGGAAGCTGCGTCCATATTTTCAATCCCATCCGGTTGAAGTATTAACTAACCAACCACTCCGAACAATACTTCATAGTCCAAGTCAGTCCGGACGTTTGGCGAAATGGGCGGTGGAATTAAGCGAGTACGACATAGAGTTCAAAAGCCGGATCAGTATGAAAGCTCAGGTCTTAGCAGACTTCCTGACCGAACTACCCATACCTGGAACGATAGAGCAACCGGAGAACCAAACTTGGAAATTACACGTAGACGGGTCTTCAACAAAACAAGGATCCGGAGTGGGAATCAAGTTGGAATCTCCAACATCAGAAATTCTAGAACAATCATTCCGATTATTATTCGATGCTTCCAACAACGAGGCAGAATACGAAGCCCTTATTGCCGGACTTCGACTAGCACAAGGAGTTGGAGCTAAAGAAATATTGGCTTATTGCGATTCGCAATTAGTAGTTAACCAATTTAATGGAGATTATGAA